ACTCGCAAGTAGATGCAGGCTCAAAACTCGGGTCTTCTTGTTATTGCGTTTGGCCAGGCCATTGCGTGCACTTGCATTGACTTGCGATAACTTGCGATGATTTATCCTCACTTTTGTCGCGATCAAATTTGCATGCAAGTCGACGCAAGTTTTCACCGTTTGGCCACCCCACCCAAGTCCACGTAAGTTGTGGCGTCCCTTAACCTATTATTAGCCAATGAAATACAGGACATGTCTGCCTTGAAATGGGTTTTTTGCGTATACTAGCGAGGAATCGTGCGAGTCTGCTTGGCACCCAACGTAAGTCTCGACGCAAGTTCAACTTGCGGCTACCTGCGACTACTTGCGAGTCCGTTAGGCCATGGCTTTAGAAAGAGCAGTTGGTCGATCCCAATTAAGTTTGATGTTGGTTGACCAGGTCGAGTAGTAACCTCACCTACTCTCAGGGCAGGAAAAAATGCCAGGGTATACATTCCTTGCTCTAATGTTTGATTGTAATACACAGCGGAAATATGGTCACAAGCTGCTATAAGACGTTCTAATACGGGCAGCGTTATTGGGACCCTGGTATCCTGAGATGGAAATAACTTACTATATCCCCTTAAAACTAGTTTCACTTTTTCAGAGTTTTTGGAATCTGGCTAGCCAGCTGAACGATGCGGATAGCTCAAGGCAGAACTGTAAGTCATGACCGTGGACCCTGCATATTTCCGCTCTGCCAAAAAGCAATAAATAATGCTAATGTGTTTCTTGAAAGGGGGAAAATAGAGCTTGCGGGTGATAACCTCTCGTTTCCAAAATTCTGTAAAATCTCCCAAGGGCGCCTGTAAGTATTCAATGAAGCTAGCTTCAAGTAATCGTTCTAGCGTAACGCCCAATTCTCTGGGCTCAAATGTTCGGGGAGGGTGGTCAGGACCTGATCCCTCCCTTTCGACAGCCTTTCAATTTGTCCTCGTGCAATCGAGACGAACTATCAGCCAGCCCATTCTTAACGCCGGATATGTGGTTAGCAATGAAGAGAATGTTATTCTGTAAACATATTAACGCCTGTCTTTGTCCAGACGAATTTATATTTTACCTTGAAACTTCGCAATTGACTAGATCGTTCAGTCCGTCAATCGGCCTAAAAAACTTCTCAAACTAATTATGTATCACCAGCAATCAATTCCAAAAGAAAATACGAAAAATTAGTCGTCGTGGCTCACGCTCCCTCTGTGGCGTTCGCGTTGTCGCCTTCGTGGTTTGCTTAAGTTCCATATTAATAAAAATGCACCACACTTAAGGGTATGACACCACAAGCGCAACCCATCCACAATGGGAAAAAAGCTCAAGTGAAGAAATTTCACGCTTGATTTTATAGTTTCCTGGCCATTCACCGTACGCCCAGTGGCCTCCAAAAATTATGCCAAAGCCTTTTGATTTGGCTGCATCTGTATAAAAATGTAATTGGCATGAAGTTACCCAAGCCTCCTCCAAGAAAAAGGACTTACCATTAAAAAAATCGAAATTACTTCCCATAGCTGTAAGTGACGCTTAACTTCTTGTGTAACCCGAACAATATATAGATTTAGGCCAGCCTAAAAGCGTAGCTCCTGGGCCGGGCTGTTCAATGCCCGATTAAGCTAACCCAGAAAAAGGTAGAATTTTGATCTGAGTTTTGTAACTTTGCGGTGAGGTTTTCTTAGTGCGATCTTGGACAGCCTAAATAGCTCAGATCAAGAGATACAGATCATATTCTCTTACTCAGATGCATTTAGCTACTTTGTCCTGAGGAAGACTGGCTTCAGGCAGAGTGATCTTAAATTCATCATAGTTTTCAGTTTCAGTTCAGTTTCAATTTTTTTATTATTGCACACTGTTTACAGAAAACAACTTAACATAACATAAGATGGTTTGCAGTCATACAGAAAAAAAAATACAAATAGAAATTAACTAGAAGAAACAATATTTAGTTCTGTACAGTGACCAAAGTAGCTAATGAGATTTCGAGTTGGTCACTGTCACGCATTTATACTGAATGCGCAGTGCATGAAAGCGACTCCGTGCAGCTCTATTCTCAGCATTTAGTGTCATTCTGAAAACACTCTGTAAGAGAGTACGTTAAGTTCTAAAAGCGGTACCTCCACAGTTCCCACTACCTCAAGGCGAAAACACCCGAGAGTATTCCAGCCTCGAATGCGCAGTCGTGACGCCATAGAATCCTAGAGTATCAAGGGCGCTCGCAATACCTGATTTACACCTGAAATACTCAACTCA